AAAGAAGAAAAAAAAAGAAGAAAATTAAAGTAGACATGGATGGACTAATTAAAGACTTGAGGCGGAATGCAATGGCGGCTTTTGAAAACTTGTTAACCCGACAGTTTTTTCAAAGTTAATTTTTGTTGTTTGTAACGTTTGATACGCCTTGGGAGATATATTTCTTTGATACGAAGCTGTGATTTTGTCATTTACGAGTAATTTACAAGTTCCTTCGCGAATAAATTCGACGCGTTATTAATATCTAATATCTAACCCGATGAACTAGATAACCGTGACGGTTTACGGTCAAGTCGCCCGGTGAGTCATCTGGCCCGAAGTTATGTCGCCGAAACTTTCAATTTAGTCAAGTCGCACGAAGTTTGATCATAATCAGCAGTACAACATGCGAATATTTTAATCGCGTTTGTTTCGTTTCATCAAATCTTTGACAACGAGATATTTCAGCTCCACTACGCAGTACAACATAAATAGAAAAACCATTAGGTTTATTTTGGCTTTTTCGGCCGAGCATCGTAAATATAACAATACGTTATACAACAACTTCTATTACATTCAAACATGTGGTGGAAAAACTAGAACAGAGATGAGCGACAGTTTACACAGAATACTGTCAGAACAGAGGCCAGAAAAAACCTGTCGGAAAAAACTCCCTGTAGGGAAAAAAAACTGCGTGGCAGGAAATTTGGGTAGGATCTATGGCTCATGCTCTGAAAAGCCCATCCTACCAAGGTAACACGGCTGGAAGGTCTCTGCCCTTATTTACTAAACAGAAAATTCGAAATAATTATACGAAACGAAAACAAGCTAAAATCTCGAGCTCTGCAAAACTCGAACTGTCACCAGTAAATCAAATATATACTAAATAAATAAATAATAACGTTTATCATATACATACCGAGAAATACTCACCGAAAAGCTATGTCGTAAATTTTGGTACGCAAATTAGTTCTAGCCAATCAGAGGAGCGAACGATGGTTTTCACACGTGAAAAAAATGATATGTCCAATCAGAATCGCGGACGATGTTTTTTCACGTGTGAGAAAAATGATACGTCCAATCAGAAGCCACAGAGGTGTGTGAGTTTCGCGCCAAAATTCCCGCTTTTTATTGCAGCTTGCAGCGCCGCTTCGCACACATTCAACGAGAAAAGTTTTACTCAAAGAGTTTTTCTCGCTAAAAAGTGAAAAACATTTCGGAAATGGAGTGGAATAGTTTCCTTTGTTTCACTGTCGATAAAGAAAACGGTAGAGAGCCGCGAAACAACAGCGGAAAGGGATAAACAGAACGAGACGTATGCTTTTATTTTGTTGTGCTTTTTGTCGGCGCTTCTTTGCCTTTCATTTAAGCTTAAGCTTATATTGAAACAGGCCATTTTGCTTGAATTCACTCATTTTCAATTGTGCATTGAGAACAAACAGTTAAGATTACTTATAGTTCTTGGATTACCTCATATCCTCACCGTCATTTATGTTTTTAACAAACGTTTTTACTAAAAAGCGGATACTTCGTTTTCGTTGTCATTTTGCGGTAAGTGTGTAGCGGCAAATTTTAGCATTTTTGAAAGATTTAAAATAAAAAGGCCGCCAAAATGATGAATGTCTCAGTATGTGTATAATAAACACAATACCACATGCAAAGTGCTTTGTACGGTATTTACGCACTCGTTGTTTTTGTATCAGAAATGATCTTACTCGTTCGCTGCACTCACTCGTTCGATTTCTGATACGTCAACGACTCGTGTGTAACTGCGTACGCCAGCACTTTCCATGAAGTATTCTCTATAAGTTAGACGAGGTGTCGGCCTAGGGCGGCTTTCCCACGTGATAAGCATACCTTTTATAGCACTCCATTCTACCCATACTGAACTTCAACTGAAACCGCATTAGATCATATATTTGAATGCTATTTTGTGCCAGTAATAAATTATTAGACATTAATTAAATTCTGCAAGCAGAATACTGCAATGCTGATCGTTCTATGTGAAAATTAACTCTGCAAGACATCAACACGACACCAAAAGAACTCAAAACAGAGCGGGATTGTGGCCGTAGACAGCTGTTTCGCCCTCTTTGGGGCTCGTCAGTATGGCGTAACAACCAGAGAAAACTCTGGTGAAAAATATCCTCGCACTCTGATTTAAGACCTGACCTAGAACTCTCAACACCCACAGAATCACGCCATACCCCGTGTCTTCTGGGGGGCAAGAGTCCAAGTGTCAAGTTGATGAATCGCAGAGGAAATAAAAAATTGACCAAAGCCAACCCTTAGAACATGGATAAAGCCATGCAAGAATTACGGCATGTCGCATCTATAAAAGATATACGGCCGCAGAATGCAAAGGGTCGCAAACGAATATGCCGAACAACGTAGGATCTATAAAGGCCTGATCAGCAAAAATGAAAAGTAGACATATTAAATTCTGCAAGCAGAATACTGCAATGCTGATCGTACTACGTGAAAATTAACTCTGCAAGACATCAAAACGACACCGAAAAAACTCAGTATTATCAGTATTAAATCACCCCAGTCTCCACTGCTCGCGTACCGCAGAAATATTTCATTTCCGTCTAATTCGTATCCACTCAAACGCCGGAAACTCCATATTTCAGCTCCACTACGCAGTACAAAATGAATAGAAAAACCATTAGCTTTATTTTGGCTGTTTCGGCCGAGCATCGCAGTAACAATACGTTATACAACAACCTAGAGGAAAAAGTATGTGGCTTTCCTGAACCTCGAAAAGAAAAGAAACTAATGTCCCAAAGATTTCGAGACCGGCAAGACGTGAAGACATGTTGTCTTTTAGAACCATCCTTATAGGTGCGACACTTTTCCATCTGCCGTGCCTCTGAAAAACTCTATCACTAATCCCGTTGTTGGCAGCCCTCGACGCTCCTCCAGACCGGAAGGAGTGAGTCCCGTAAACAGCCCTAGGGATCCGGAACTATATATCCTGCAAACGTTTAGTTAACTGACCCATGAAGGTTGCATAAGGGATAGGCTTATCAACTTGAACCAATTTGTAGGACGACTAGGTTTTAATTAGCGGTCGGAAAATAAATTCACTCACTCTTTAAGTAAGAAAACCGGGCACACATTCCCCTCGGATTGAGCAATAATCACCGTCACCACCTTGTCTAAGCTGATCAGTCTTGCTTTTGTCTACTTTGATACTCAAGTAGATTAAGATCTGGTTCTGTACAAATTTCACAGAATTTAAAGAGGGGTGGTTTAATTTAAAGCTTTT